GTCCTGACAGCAAGATCAGGACATGGAGACTTTGCGGATTATCACCGCCGCCTGAACCACGAAGACGCGAAACTGGAACGCTTCTGTGGACAAAGGACAACGCCGACTCATTTTGTCCGATGCAGGAAGAATACTGCTATAATGCGCAGGTTGAGAAGATCCATGACCGTGGAGGACTATACCAACCAACTCCTTGGACCAGAGGGTCTCGAAAAGTTCATAGGATTTGCAAGGAATACCGGCTGCTTTGAGAGCATGGATGCAGACCAGCCCTCAGCTGGATGCGAGGGCCGAAGTGATTATTTTTTCAGGACGAGAGAAATGACTGAGGGGGTCATAGGATGAGAAATACTAGCACCACTCCTACATGTTAATTTGCTTTATTTCAGTTGGTTTTGTTTGCTATTTCTTTTGGTTTTTGGTTGTTTGTAATCAGAGTCACATAGTGACAGTGTGGTGGGAACGAGTAGGGCATAGCTATTTAGGATAATCCTTACCGAGCCCACCAGTCCCGTGCCATAAGGCGCTGGGCTGGTGCCTGGGACCTCAAAATAAATCAATCAATCAAACCAACGCGAGCAAACAAACGCACAATTTTTCGAAATTCGAATTTTCGAATCTTAACTTTTTCCCCCTCTCCCTCCCTCTCGCGCTCGTCGCATTCTACCAAATCATTGTGATCGAGTCGCTGGCATTTTCACCATGCCACCTGTTCGTAAAAAGCGTCCCAACGCCACGTTGGACAACACGAGAGTCCGCCCGAGGGCTCTCGAAAAATTATCTGGCCTTGTCCAGTCTCCGAAATTCGCGGAGATGAGCAAGGCCTCAATGAAAGGGAAAGAAAAAGCCATCCCCGCCGTCGCTGAGCCGGATACTGACATGGTCGGGTCAGTTGAAATTGTTGAGGAAATTCCTCAACGAATCTCCATCCCCCACGGGATTGGAGAATCGTCCAAACCTCCTCCGACCACGCAAATACCCTCGGAGAACGCTGCACCCAAAGCAGCGTCAAAATCAACGTCGCAGCCCAAAGCTGCCACGAAAGCAGATTGCCCTCCGGAACTTCGACCAATTGTCGAAGCCGAACAACGACGCGCCGCCGAAACAGCAGCAAATCTGGCATTGAAGCAGCCCTCCTCCCTTTGACCAACGGGTCAAATAGACAATTCGTGGGCTCGATGAGAGTCTACCTGCGCGCCGCCATTGCGCAATACATGGCCACGGGCCCGGCCATCACGCCACCCGTCCTCCCTCTTCGCCCTACGAACCCGAACCCAAGGGCTCCAGAAGCCAGGAGCAATACAACTCCCGCCGTCCCAGTGCTGCCTGTAAAAAACACCTGGGCCACGGTGGCCAAAAATGGACTGCGAGAAAATGCAGCTCCTATAGCAAAGGCTGTGCCGCGACCTGCGGCGAAAGCCCAAAAGAAAGAAGCTCCCAAGGCGAAAGTCGATAAGCGACTGTTCCTTCGCCTGGAAAAGGAGCACCCATGGCGGAATCTCTCAAACAACATTGTGAAAAGTAAGGTAGCGGACACGCTTAATCTCTCTTACAATGATATAACCTCGATTCATCGAGTAAAGACCGGCTTTGCTATTATAGTAAAAAACGAAAAAATACGACAAGAGATCCTAGATGTCTCTCCGAAGCTGGCAAGTGAAAACGCCAAACTCGAAGCATCGTCAGATCTTGTCGCCTTACAGATACCGAACGTGCCTGTAAGTATCGTTTCACAGTACGGCCCCGTAGCGACCGATGCTGCAAGTGTCACCGCTGAGATCTTCCTTACGACCAGTGCGTATCCAATCCAGGTCCGACCTCATGGGACATGTCGGCCTGGATCGCCTTATCGAAACTTGCATGCCCTTTTTCACCGAGACGAAGCCCCTCGTACGGGCTTCCGCCTTTTCGACGATTCGGGTATGGCTTCCATCCACAAGCCTCGTCGATCAATTGAACAGTGCAAACGCTGTTTGAGCTTCCACGCCACTCATGGTTGCTCCCGCGCTCCAGCTTGCTGGAACTGCGGATCAAATATGCACTCCGAAACAGAGTGCAAGGCCCTCACACGCTGTCGCAACTGTGGGGGACCTCACCGATCGGATTCTCGGGCCTGTCAAGTCAGACCAAAAAAGTCCGGACCGGTGACCAAAGAGTAGCTCGCGTGGATTCGCCACATCGAAAAAGGGGAGTTCGCGAAGGTGGCACGAGCCAGGGCTGCAGCAAAAAAGGCCGAAGAGGCGATCATCGCCGCTGCGAAGGACGTCTCAATGGCCGAGGCTACAGGTTTCGGAGCTCTAGGATCTGAAGAAGAAGTATGAGGACACAGCAACCTCGATGATGTCCCCTTTTGGGGCATCTACTAACCAATAGCAGGATACCGGCTGGATCAAAGGTGCCTGCTAACTCATCTCTTGCTCTCAGCGAAGATTGAATAAATTTTGTCTTTTGGAAGGTGTGACGGACGATGGAATGTGTGAGAAGCACATTGCTTGGGTCCAATGTGAAGGAATCTTCTGGTTTTTCCGGAGTTGTTTTGATTTTCTTGGTTTTTCGTTTCAGTTTAATCAGCTGCACTTTTGGCAGAGATTCACGAGGTTGAAACGAGTTAGGCTGTAGGAAAGATTACAGGGAACCCTTCCGGCTCCACCGGTCCTTGACCCAATGTGTAAAACATAGCTTTAGCTTAGGACCGAATGTAAAAAAAAAAAAAAACCAACGCGAGCCTCAACTTCAACCATAATCGAATTTATTTTTATATTTAAAGAGAACCTTTCACAAACTTAGAGCTGCTCTAGGTAGGGTCTATAGGACACAATATTTTTGATACTGATTTCGTTCAATCATAGCCTTCACAAGGTAGAACCGGTCAAATTTTATTCTCTTACCAATTATCGAATGAGAGTGGCGAGATGCTGATTTACTTAACAAAAGCTTTACAATCGAATCTCAATAAAGTATTGGGATTCTGTCGAATTCTTTTGTACTTTTAAATATTGAATTCTACCTATGTTATAAAGTTTACACTTATGATATTTAGATTATTAGCACATAACTCGAGAAAGAAAGAAACTGTTGACAGGACTTAAGCACTAGTGCTGGGGAATGGAAAAAGAGTGTACTGAATTGTATATATTATTATCTCTATCTAGGGTGTTTCGAACCTCTACGAATTAGATGAGACGCACAGGCCTCTCCAGGGTAGTCAGCTATTATTGTCTACCAAGCCTAACGGCCTGAGGTTGCAACATTCAGTCTAAGTGGAACCAACAGAAACATGTATTCTTATTTCGTGCCAAAATATTTGCAGGTCTTGATGCCGGAGGGCAAGACTGAACACCTGTACGCGGTGTCCTCTACGAACCTGGGAGTGAAATATTCTCCCAGAGCCAAGTTCAGTCAAATTTCGCAATATCAAAGAAGTTGGCCCACGAGGCAAAAATTCAAATTACTCCACCACGTCAATCTTTCACTCCCAAAGAGTCCGATTCTCAACTAAGCTTCATCAAGTCTACAAGTACGACCTAGTACATCCTCGTTTCAATGACCACACCTCTCGTCGACTTTCTCTGGCCTCAGCCGGTCACCAAATACACGCCCACGCCGATATTTATACCCGACGGAGGAAGCAAAGCGTGGAGCACAATTTTGGGAGATAGCTCTTTGGGACGGACGTGAGAGGGATCAGGACAAGTTCACAAGATGATGCAGAAGAGGGATACGTTTTCGACGGGCGTGGAATTTTGAATTTTGGCAAGAGTGTTACGAATTGGACTTTGTGCGTGCCAAGACTTCGCTTGTGAGAGTGCAGCTGACACTATAAAAACAAGCAAACGATGGAAGGTGTTGTGGTCCGCCTCCTGGTGATGTTCTCTGGTATGGTTTGAGTAGCCTGGGTACCTACTCCACTTGGGAAGGAGACATCTCAGATTACATTTCGCGCGGAGAAAAGTTGATGGATGACAGAGGCATGTCTGGATAACTCAGGGTTTTTGAGACGTTCCCCTGGGTGGGTATTCACGGATGAGGGTTGACTTGGGGTGAAGAAAAAGCCACCATAACTTCGCAGTGGTACTTGCAAATGAAATCCGAGGCATGAGTGCTCCTATTATAAACTGAGTCATCTTTTCTGTACTTTTCTCTGATATTGTGTCATAGCTAGATAGCTGCATACGCAATTAAAATCTGATGCAAAAAAAAAAAAAAAAAAAAAAAAGGTCTTGATGCCTTTCTTTTCTTACCAAAACAAAAGCCATGGCGCATAGGCACTTGAATTTAGCACGTTAAACTTCGGCTGAATTCAGTTATAAAGATATGTGTACCTTTTTTGTAAACTTACTAAGATTAAGTGCTTATGAATTTTTTTGAACCCTCGACATCACATATCAATAAAATTCAGTAACTTTAAACTTATCATAATTCAAAATGATATACTTCCTAAAACGTTACGTCTTTAAAAAATAATCTTAATTTTTACATTGACAAGTGCCAATCATAAAAATGTTATTGACTTTGATGAGAAAAATTCATTACATTTGTAGAGATCCAATCATTATAACGGATTGAATACTCACCATTAGTTTTTGGTGTATTTTCACCCTGCTCAAATCTATAAGTCATTTAGTTTCGAGTTCAAAATGTCGAAGACACAAAGTTCCAAAAGCTGTATCATTGTCTAGTATTTTACCTCCCAATTATGAGTGGCATGAAACGACACACTGGGACTGCCACAGCATCTGGTGCCCATAACGCTTTGGAACTCAAGTATGGTCATAAATTGAGATATTCTACGTCAGTCTACTTATTCGTGCTCGATCCTATTTTGGCAGGACGGTCAGATTCGCTCCTTCCATTTCGAGATTTTCAGTAAAGCTCAGAATTCGGTGTTAAATCTAGAAATCAGGCTTACACCTTAGATCATTGATTCAAACCCCGAATGCTTATTCCGTCTATCTCTATGAAGTAATCATCTTTCTCCGACTTTGGGTATAGGATCAGATATGGCTTCAGCTCTAAAATCAACGCCCCTATCGAACAACGTGCAAAATTGTACTCAAAACAATGTTAATTTATCAGAATGGAACTCTAAAATTGCTTCAAATGTATCACTTGATGGGCCTCCGGAGCTAGTCGCCCCATCCTCGCCACCAATAACATACACTACGGTTGGATCTCTAGTAAATCCAAGATCTATCAAGCGGCTAGCTGCACCTAATCGTATACAGCGCGAAGGTGCAAATAGAAGGCCGTTGATGTCAATATTAGAAAACCAGACATTTGATTCGGCTTTCCAGTCGCATGAATCTCCTCGTTTGAAGATTTCGAATCGGATATCCTCGTCTCAGCAAGTGTCATGGAGTCCATCTGAAATAGGTCAGGTATTTTCTCCGTCAGTTTCAGAGCCAAATATCTACGACGATAACTTGAAACCACAAATTGCAACAGGACCCTCCATTATTTATAATATATCGATAGAACAAGAGCAAGATAAATTAAATTTGCCATCAAGTGGAAATATCCCACTCCCTTACAGAGATGAAAATGCACCTGTAAACTTACAAATAAAAGACCTAAATAATTATAATATAAATGAAATAGCTTTTACTTACTATGAAAAAGAAGGTTCAAATCCATCAGAGGATTCATCGACTCATTTGCATGGGATGGAAAAAATGCAAACACTCCAAAGACTCTCAAAATTTAATAATCCGATGCAAGACTTGGCTTTAAATAAGTTATCTGAGTTTTCTTTTGAAAAAAGGCAAGAGGCAAACAATATTAACTGTATAAAAATCTCTCCACCAGAGTCATACTTAGTAGATACTCGTAATGCTACTAGATATCCAAAAATTTCGGGTATGGGCTCGTTAGATATTCAGAAAAACTTCTCTCGGTCAGGAAAAGAAAAAGATTTACAATCAAGTATATGGCAGAGCAGTAATACAATACAGGATGAAGATACTTCACTATCTACTGGAGAATATATTCAGCCACTCACAGCTGGTCCACCTGGCCCAAGACAGTCAAATATTAACCTGGAAAAGCGACTTGGCCATCGTCAAGATATATCAGCTAATAAATATAGAACAATGAGTCCTGGTATGAGGGGCACCTTCATGCCCAAGCAACCACAAAGCTATTACCAAGTTAATAGCTTGCAGAACCCAGAAAAGTATCACCAAGAAAGTGATGGAACTTATGGAAACTCATCTCAAAATCTTATAGAGACTATTTCTTGGAAAGATGCTGCCAGATACTATCCATATTCGATACCATATGGTTTAAAAAAAACTACTTGGCCCCTCAATATGAATGATAGTCGAGAAAAAATGTACCTAGGTGTTCAAAAGGTTGATGGTCTAAATGATTGGTTTTACTCAGGTTATCGAAATTTCTGCACTAAAATGACACAAGTTATGGATAATAAATCAAATAAAGATGAATATTGGAGAAAGAACTATGAACATAGTGCTTCTTCAGAAAAAAATTTAACAACCGAAAAAAGGCAACTTTTAGTCGGGGAAGTTCAGAAAACACCAATGACTGAATGTGCAGCTCCGATGATTGAATGTTTATTAAGAACAATGCTTGAGTACTCTGATAGACGAGACCCTCAATCTCGAGCTGTTTTGAGCAAATATACCAGCAGTCCTCTTAGATATATCGATATCACCTCAAAAGGCAGTCGAAGCCTTTTCAGCGAAAATTTTGGTAACTTAAATTCAAGCGGGAGTAATCTTAAAGTCAATGAAAATTGGTATCCTATGAATGAACTATCTTCAAGCGAGAAGCGATAAACATTTATAGACGTTGCACAAATAATGATTGGAAACTAATTGACATAAGGCCGGATTCTCATTAAAATTCAAGTCATAACTATTAGGTCTAGTAGACATGACACGTCTACTATATTTTGAAAAAACTAAATGTTGATATGGTCTTAGTGTGAAGGATAGATAATGATAAATAACTGGATAAGTAGAGAGTCTTCGATAGTAATATTTTAATACTATAAGTGACTCATTTGATTAGTCCAGTTATGTAACTTTATTTTATGTGATAGAATTCCACGTAGATATAGTTTTCCGTTTATAATTTGAAGTTAGAAGCCAAAGACCGATAAGTCGCAGGTAATTGCGCAAAATTTTGTCTCTTGATTTTCTGGGTCGATGTAGTTTCTTGAATTAATGGGGTTTTGAGATTCAAGTACTAAATATATTAACTTTCGGGTGTAAGTTGAAAAATAAATCAATTTAAGCAGCAAGATCTGTAAAACAGATTACCCTAAATTTAGATATTGTATCATAACGTTTAAGTTGAGTAGTTTACAAGCAAGTATACGGGACTGATGCATCAAGGGCAATGACTTAGTCACGTAAATGTTAAAACTAGCGACTAGACAGATGGCCAATTTCCTACGCACAACTCCCTTATTGTTTCATTTCTTCTATTGCCCCATAATTATGTAACAGGCAATTTTAGAACCATGTATGGGACGGAGATTTGAGCAGTTTGCATGGGCAATCTAATAGTCAGTCTATATTTGGAGTTAGTAGGATACTCAAGATGTATATAATACCTAGATAGATTCCTCATGGCGGAGGACAATCAATTCAATAAACTCTGAGAGAAATTCACTTTAGTATAACTTTGCCTAACAAGATCAAACTTTCCGAACTTTATGCTATAATTGAGAATCACGTGTGAGTGTGATAGAGTGCTGGCGTTCTTTGATTACTCCTTTCTTTTTTTGATAGCCGCAGTTTGCGGCGCAGCTTTGACCATCTGGCCAACCTTTTGTTGCAGTCCGCTTTGTGTCACTGTATCCTGTGTGCTTTTGATAGGCTACACTGGGAGGGCGGGTATGGTTTAGCTCTTAGCATCGGTAGCTATCGGAAGAGTAAGGACGGGTAGCATAGCGGCCAGGCCCGTTACTATGTATTGCACAATAGCGGCATGCTTGTAGACCGTCATGAAGTATATGAATTGTCCATTTGACACGGCTATCAAAGAAAGAAGAGATATTTCGACGCAGTTGATAGCCTCAACATACTTGTCGCAAAATCACGTGCTGGGATTGTTCTAACGTCCGTTTTGAGTCTCGCTTCTTCTATCACCATATCTCTGGTGATACTGGGTTTGGCCTTTTCAGAGTGAAGAGGCTATCGGGAAAATTTAGTGCCAATACCGAGATCCAACTGGAAGCGGCTTCTAATTTTAGTTGCGAGCTATTTAAGATGACTTACTTGAAATGAGCGCAGCTATTGCTCCTTCCCCTTCAGCCTAAATTGCACACCGTGAGTTCATGACGGTGACCAGCTTTGTTACAGTTTTCCAGGCCTATTTTGGGAAGTGGGAAGACATGCATCTTCATGTGTGGCCAGTCCCAAGCCGCAAGACCACGCGCTCGTCGGTTCACACTGGACTGGAACCTAGGGCTTTCGGCTGGCAAGGATCTGTACTGGTCGCGGCCTGCTAACGATTTTTCAATCCCCGTAATCGTAGCACGCGTGGGAAGAGTTGTGGCATTACTGCCCCACAAAGTCTGGTGGCCTACTCTTTCATTACTCTGTCTAGTCTCATCATAAGATTTTTATTTGAACTTGACTTTATTTGACCTGATTTGGCGCACTGTAGGCCCATCAAGGTGGCTATGAACCTATCTACACGTTTACATGAGGAAACCCTGCGATAAAATCCCTTCTTATATTGAATATTATGTATAATTATCTGTTACCTACAGGAAATGAAATTGGCTATTAGTCTGGGACGTGAATAGCTAGAGTATACTTCGCCATCTTTTCCCTGCCCTCGCGTGCCGTAAAGAGATGGCTGTGGTCTTGAACTCGACCCCGCTGGCGCAAAAAGTTATGGTAGTGGGGCTAAGAACAGGACTTATTCGTGCGTGTGTGTTGAGCATCTCTTGACGCCTTCTGATTTTTGGTAGGACACCAATGTGAACCCTTGGTTGTCTGTTGGGTTTGCCGTTGTTTTTGATAGAGTTGCCGCAGGTAAAGTTTCTTCCTTAATTTTACCGTAAGTTCCATCAGTCCATGTCGTATCTTTTTGACACCGACCCTGTATTCCGCGAGGTTCTCATACGCCCCTTCTAGCAAGACATATGGGATTTGCTATAGTTGCAGCAAATCACAGATTTCTTCAGGTAGTCTCTGGTCTGATGGGTGCCCGCATACCTTCCCAATTTCCTTGCCTTATTGCAAAGGGCTTAGGTGTGCCCCCATTGACTGCTGTTGAAACACTGCTTGACTTGTGCTCTGGGTGACCAGAGCTTGGCCATGTACTGCATTGAGTTCTAGACAATACCATTTCTTATTACTTTGCGTCGAAGTGCATCGGTGAGCAAACTCGCGATAACTTACCCTCAAATTTGGCCATTTTTCCCCATTCGTTGATGCTCCTTTTCTTCGTAAAGCCATATCACCTTGTCTATTTTTAGTGCTGGAATCCGAAATTCTGTCTCCTCCGTTTTTTGGTATATCAATGTGCTGTTTTCGGCATTTTTCTTCCTCGTATCATTGTCCCCATTGCTACTCCTACAATTTCAACAGGACAATTCTGCTTTAGGACGCAGAAGTTATTTGGTTGCGCCGTCCTCAAGGCGGCGTCTCGTTTGGAGACAATTTGCACGAACACCTCAGTATATTGCTCCGTAGCTTCCTGAAGGTGTATAGCCCCTCGATGTATTGTTTAGTCTTGTAAAGCAGCTCTACCCGCTACATATCTTCTGCTCTTTCGACTCGTATCCCTACGACAGCTCTAGTCTCTGGCAGTGCGACGATTGAGGCGTAGGTGGGTCGTCCTTCCATTGCCTGTGCCAACTGTGGAGCCGTCTTGCGAGCCAGTATACTTTCTTCTATTGGCGTCACTACTAAGTAAGATCAAAACATCGTCGGATGTGCCCCATTCAACTCCACCATCGGTATCACAGTTGGGATAGTTCCTGATGTTACCAGTCTGTCTCTAATCTTGTTTAAATAAACTCCATTGATTTAAGGTCATCTATGTTGGCATCTATAGAGTTTACGAGAAACTCTACAGCTATAATCGCGGCTGTTCCGCTATCTGTTGATGGTTTTTGTGGTGCCGTAAAAATGTTTCCTGTCGTGAAGCCCACCTTTCCAAGCCTCGAAGCAGCAATGCTATAGCGCAATGGAAAAAAGTTAGAGAATCAGATAAGATGGTAATAATCATTAAAAAGATGAAATAAAGTTCGTGGAATGTTGTGCCGCTTTTGACCAAATGATGATCAAATGAATAGCACTAATTGTCAGTGGAAAGCATCTTCTGATTGTCTTCCTCTCCCCTCTGTTGACTATGGGAATGCTCTATACTAAAATATCTACATACCAAGACACTAACGCCGTTCATTCCAGGTCTAGCCCCTGCAGTATCATCAACGCCTTCAAGAAACAGGTACTCAAACCACAACAATGGGTTATTTCTAGATTGTTCCTCTCCTTTATTTTTGGTTCTATCCTACACATCCCTCGCTGCTTCCTTCCTGCCCTTCCCATTTAAATTCAAGCCTCTGAAAATGCCATCTCATGGTTAATATTTTAGAATTCTTGATGAATTGAGTGGTATTTCCTAACCCAACTTTGGCTTTTAGCAACAGCTTCAAACTCAAATCATTCCCATTTTAACTGTTTATCATCGTAATTTTGAGTATCGACATGAGTTAATATTATACGGTTTGTTTGTACGGACCAAAAAAAAGAGAAATATATTAGCAGCCCTATAGGGCACAGAATCTCACTCTTAGCATATCTTGGGCTCTTGCTTCAGCCGAAGAAGTTAATGCATTCAATAGCTGGGTGCGTGCAAGAAATTTCTGCGAAAAGGCACAACGACAAGTATAATTGGAACACAATTATGAATCGATGTAACTAGTCTCCTCATTTCATATCTTCCTGTTTTTTTCTTCATTTAATACCATCAGTAAACTATGAGAGCCGACAAGAGGTTGAAATTCATCTGTAATTTAATCTCCTAGCGCAGGATGATAATATTCTGGCTTTATTTGCTATGATGTGGGGGACTATTCTCAACACCTGTCAGTAGTGTCCCCTACGAACCTTCAGCTCTCACTGTAGAGTCTGCAGAGCCGAGATTGAGCAATAAAGTCCTCACTTCGACGAGGATTCCCAATCGCTTTCGCGGTCTGTATCGTCTTCATCTCTCAACACATTCCCCTATCACCATCATCATTAAGCTAACCACGATCAGATCAGATGGTAGGGTCGGAGCTCTACTCATCACCAAACCTTGATCACGGAGGAAAAGCCATCCGGTGAGTTTCCGGAGCGTACCCAGCACCCGATACGGAGATGGTGGATTGGATCAAGTCGGCCTCGACTGTTACAAAGAAGGGAGACATAGATGAATATGCGCACCTCATGTGGTCCCGGTGTCTAGGCCTCGCCTGGCTGGGGCTGCAGGTTTTTTGAGACTTTTTCCCGCGCACGCAGTTTACATTGCTACCATTTTTTTTGGGGTAGAAGGTTCCGTGGAAAAGGTGGCCGAATTCCACGGGTAAATACTGAGCTGAATGGCTATCTATTGTAAAATTGATAGGGTTATTTGGTAAGTGCGATAAGAGTTGTTATACTATTGTGACATATTACTTAAGTGGGAATAGGACTAGAGTTGATAGATCAGCAAGAAAGTGCCAAAATTGTAATTTATTCCAAACAAAATAGTGCGTTTCAGTGTGTAGATAACGCTGAGTTCGCTTACTTTAATATGACTAAGTGAATACGTATCATTCTAATTGAGTTCCTCACTTGATACTAGTTTAGAAATAACATGTTCCCACACTTTCACATATCTCGATTTCATGTGTGGGTCGAGATACGTGTTGTAACGCCAGACACTGCATTAAGAGCGGGTGTAGTGTATAAACCATCAGACACCTGATTCAGGCCGCCAGAATACATGTCTGCTGCTGGCTAACGCCTTAGCATGGTCTAACTCACGTCACAAATTTCAGCAACTATTTAGGGCAACATATCAGAGATCTTTTAAGGAACAGAAGAGGACTGAGGCGCTGTACAAGGTGTTGCCCGGGCTAGAGAGGGGCTCAATATGCTAGATTGTCTATGACTCAAGTAGTACAATAGACACACCTCATACCTCTCTGAGCTATCAAAGATAATGACTCTTGAAAGAAACATATTCTAGCTTCCCCTCTTCTCCTACCTATATTGCGAAACACGATTTCAAAGCGGTGGCTGGTGGTGCCGCTGGTTTTAATGGCTTTTTGATTTTACTGACCAGTTAAGTCCAGAAACTCTCAGTAGTTTTGGTCTTTGTGTCTGTTCCATTGTCGGGCTTCGAGTCCTTCATAGTCATAGACTCAGTAGGGACTTAATTGAATTCTATTCTATTCTATTGTTGGGCTTCGAGGCTTGCGTTACGGCCAGGAATTCTGCTCTTTCTATCCCGGTATGTTCTCTTTCGAGGATTTGCACTAGACAAGCTGTGCTCACGTTAATTTTCTGCCCGGCTCTGTGGTATTCACGGGATAGGAATTGGTGGTGTTGCTGCGCCGAGCATATTTGGTGGGATGGCGTCACTGGATTCCTGTTATTTGACCTTGGACGACTATTTCGCTCAGTTCGACAGCTTGTCAAATCATTTCGTCCGTAATTAATTTAGTCAAATTATAGAGCCTGCTAATTACAAGCTCAACTTCAGCATTGCACTTTTGGAATTTTCTTGCCTGCTCTGCAACGAAGACGATCCAAGCTACATCGATTGATACCGTGGATTTCTTGATTGAGCTCTGTCGGCGAACGACGTAGATCGGATTGGAAATAATTTCTCGCCTAACTTTTATCTACTCATTTTCAGTGCAGAATAGAATAGAATAGAATAGAATTTTATTTATGTCCCTACCAAGTCTATGACTATGAAGGACAGCTAAAACTATCTAAATAGCTTTAAAGTTAATGGTTAATTTGTATGTTGTTGTGCTCAATTTTTGCCAATAGATGATGAGGGTCGTGCCCTATTTTTTTCAGTGCAGAGCTTGTGCCCTTCACGGATCAACTTTCATTCATTCATTGTATCTACTCATCTTACCAAGACGAGATGATTACTAGGCATCTCTTTTTAGCAAATAAGCGTTTTCATTCTTTGTCCTTGCTCGGTTACACACTAGATTTAGCCGTGTGCGAGACAAAGTCTTCTCACGTTGGAAAATATACTGTGTACGATATTACATGGATATATAATGATAAAATAAAGGAGACTTTACGTTTAAAAACTACGGGAATATTGGACTTATATTTAAGTCTATGAGAGAAATACCCACTAGTCTTAAATGCCTGTCAAACTTCGTAATGACCAGCCACCTCTCATCTACCATGATTAGTCGAGGTACGGAGGGCAAGACTGAACACCTGTACGCGCTATCCACTACGAACCTGGGAGTGAAATATTCTCCCAGAGCCAAGTTCAGTCAAATTTTGCAATATCGGACAAGTTGGCCCTCGAGGCAATGATTCAAAATACTCCACCACATCAAATTTTCCACTCCCAAAGAGATCGAATCATACATAAGCCTCATCAAGTCTACAAGTAAGACCTATTACATCCTCATCCCAATGACCACACCTCTTGTCGACTTTCTCTGGCCTCAGCTGGTCACCAAATACACGTCCACGCCGATATTCACACCCGACGGAGGAAGTAAAGCGTGGCGCAAAAATCTGAGAGACAGTTCTTTGAGATGAACGTGAGAGGGATCAGTACAAGTTCTCACGATGATGCGAAGGATGGATACAGTCTCAACGGATGTGGAATTTCGAATTTTGGCTAGAGTTTTACGGATTGAGCTTTGTGCGTGCCAAGGCTTCGGCTGCGAGAGTGCAGGCGACACTATAAACACCGCCATGGTTGGATGGTGCGGTGGTACATCGTCTTAACCGGTCTGTCAAGTAGAGTCTGGATAGCTTGGACACATGTCCCATGCGAGACAGTAGATCGCAGGTTCAAAACCAGAAAATTACAACTTCATTTCTCGCGGCGCTGGTATACATGGATGACGAAGGCATGCTCGGATAATCAAAGATTTTGAAATTCCCTTTGGTGGATACTAACGGAGGAGGATTGACTGTTTGTGTAAGCAAGCATACCTCATAGTGGTATTTGCGAATGAAATCTAGAGTATGAGTGTCTCTAACGTCAAAAGAGTCATCCAATCTATACACATAGCACCGGTCATGTTTCATAGCTCCATAGCTGCATTCACATTAAATGATTTTAAAAAAACACTCTCTAACAGTAGCGTTGCCTTTTTTTCTACCCATGCTCTCCTAATTAAATTATAAATCCCAGTTTTATTGTATCTCTTCATCAAAATTCCAAGGTTTATGTGAAGGTTTTCGTTGGAAATACTTCGTGTTGATCCAAGGTCGATGCTTGAAAGTTGCGTACTTAACCTCTTAAGCCCTAGTTTTCTATTAGAATATGATTCTCTTGGACAACTGATATAAGACTACTGGAAGTAGATTTGATAAAGTATTGGGTTTACATAAAATACGGAGCGTGTATCTCGACTACTTCTCTACACTCTCTCCTAATGCTACGACCAAGCTCTCGCTACACGCTAATATGGAACTACCAATACAGGGTATATAAGATCTCCAAACGCCTTACTCATTATGCTCCTAAGTAAACAATAATCACAACCATAACTCCATCACGTTCAGGTGCAAGAATAATTATGTTTGACCAACAGTTATTTAATTTAACACTTTCGGCTATTTTTCCGAACGATCAACTCGAATCGTGTCACTAATCTCACAGACTTCGATCATAAATCAGTATTAGTAAACTGCAAGCAAGATATACCGATAAGGATTAAGAAATTTGTTTTTTACCTCACCTTTCACGCCAGAGATCATACAATTGTATCTCCCTGAGATTTTCGATTAAAATTAGATATATCTAAAAGCATGGCATCCTAGAAATAAGTTAGAGAGTTGCAATCTATACATTAGCTTTGAACTTATTGGTAAGCTCGTAACAGTGAAGAATACTTCTCTAAAATGTCTCATTTTCGAGCAGAGCTTTCATTCAGCGAGGAACATAAAATTTGAGGCCCTATTAACGAAAAGGACCTTGCATAATTATCTAAATTCAAAATCCAGTACAAAGCGAGATTTGGCAGTTCAAATTAAATTTATTCATGGCTAATTATTGACAAGAAGAGTATCAAGGTTTCAATCTAACATGAGAGAGAATACATGAAATCCGATTTGTACCAAGATTTAAGTTAGACATTTCATTCACCCACAAAATCATAAGCGTAAGCCTTTCCTAGATCAGTTAATTGTGCTTCAGCATTAATTAATTGACCTGTGAGGGCAGATGGATCACACCAGAACCATGCGTAGCGTTCGATGCGTGACTGAGCATCCATCCAAGGTATAACGTTCGTTAGAAACTCAACTTGTTCGTTCATGCTACCACTTGCACTGAACTCAGTGATCCAGAGGTTCCTATCGCCAGCTATGACCTGAGCTTTACCTAGGTAATCCCGCAAATAAGCTGAGTTGGATGAGCTATCATACCAGTGTAAAGGCACGAAGTCAATAGTACAGTCGACACAAAGACGTAAGAATTTATCGAGCCAAGGAAGTCCATTGGCACTATTTGTCACTGCTGGCGCCCCAAGACGAAAATCATTAGCAAATGGCTGTATATGCGTTAGATATGACGTAACTGCGGCTTCAGGCGTTATGCAAGAACCACCTCCTTCACACGCATCGGGCTCATTGAAAGCTAGAAGATGCGTTGAACCCCTTTTCCGTGCTCTCTCTACATTCTTGGCCCACTGAGGGTAATTAGTGTTGTGCTTCAAGCCAAAGATAAAGATTGAGAGGAGATACATTCAACGTATGATCTGGAGAGTCACCCCAAAGCATTGGAACAAATTCAAGGTACTCCGGGAAACTGTCGTCTGTATTTGAGTACCAGTTGTAGGCCCAATTGACTTGGCTACCCTCATCGTTGAAGTCCTGAACGTAGATGGGTGGATCGTGGAATGACAGACCTCTTTTGAGGGCGCTTGAGTCATGAGCGGCAAGATGTTCGGGTATTATATGTGCGTAGTAACATGGGAAAAGGGTATTGATTTGGAGAGCAAGCCACGTGTACGTCAGCGTCGTGATTTGTAACGAAAATAGAGGTAGGAACATCGCGGTTATCCGTGCGAAGAATTTCCGACAAACAGAAAATCAAGCGGTTGATTAGCCTACTTTAGAATAAAGCGAAGAGGTTTAAAATATAAGGCGATCCATGACATTCGGTACAGCAAGAAACATGATCTTTAAGTATTGGCTGGGCTGCCTTACTCCTGTCAGTCTGACCCTATTAAAGCCGATATAAATATCCATTCATCGGGCCATGGTGGCGCCAAACAAGAGAAATCGTAGCCATTGGGTGCAGCTGTGCCATAGCTTTGCCGACTTCATTTTTTGTGGTAATGTCGTAGTGTTCGGTGTAAAAGAAACTAGTTGTCTTAGTCGTCTTACCACTCACAGATGGTGGCGATAACAGGGTTTATCGCGTGAAACGACAACTAGAATCGAACTAACAGCCAATTCGGAGTTTTAGTACTTGAGCGGCTGATATCAGCGAGGATATAAAATCGTGAGTCAGAGAGGGTTTAGGAGAGAAAGATTATCTCAGGATGTTTTGGTAGGGATTTTCGAGAACCATAGAAGCTTGTGGCATCTTGTACGAAGAATTTGACTGTAAATTTTGATTAACGATATCTGACAGATTTAAAGTTCCTCCATTGAAAGAGCTTGAGTGGGTGAATAATAAAAGGAGTGATCTCGATTATGTCTTAACCATTTAAAAGAGGTAACACATATTTATGGAAAAGAGTACATGTCGTTTCCCCAAAATATAATGTTGTATACTACGTTTCAGAAAGACACCGACTAAGCTAGGGGCGAGAATATGAAGATGTTTCGATTCACGAAGCCTTTTGTCTTCGAGACGAAAAGTTATCAGTCCTCACAGGCTTTCTGATGTGGAGAGAAAAATTTAGGACCGTTTGAGAGAGCTTCAAATAGTCTACACTTTATTTATCGGCAATGTTTTCTTCGCTCTTGATAGAGCTTCTACTAAGTGTAATTTGTTGTGTGAAAAGCACCTCTGAATCTGCATCTCTTCATTGGCTCCATAATCTGTTTAGCCCGTAAAAATATAGCATTATACAACATTAATGAAACAAGGTGTTTCTTTAATTCATCTTTACCCTTCCCAATTCTGTGCTTCGATTACTATATTATTTTTTAGGAAAAACTGTGAGCGACTACTAATAAATCGGTGAAAAAGCTACCATTTCCAGTCCAATATTTTTTTGGGAAAGGCAAATATGCTTTGGTGGCTATGCGGTCTTTAAAGGGGGGGGTTGACGATATTTATGGAAGGCTACGATGTAGCAAGGAGTCTACTGTGCGTAATACGATGTGGAAATGGATCCCAGTCTTCAATTAAGCTTCAAAAGCTATGAAGTTCCAATAAGACGCTTAGAATCTCGTGTCGTATGGGGCTGCGGCATCCATAATGGAATCAGTGACTACATTAAAGCGCATTTTGGCTCATTTTTGCCACTTTTTGGATTCACTTGTAAAGCTACTCGTGCCGCTTCGGTAAATACTTCATTGACTCCTCGGTTGCGCATGGCACTGCACTCAAGGTACCTCAGCGCATTTATTCGTCGGGCAACGAGAAGCCCTTGTTCGTAATTAATAGTTTCTTTCCTTTCTCTTGTTTCTCCATCTTCTTCAGGCTCATCTTCAAGCTCGCGTAAGTCACATTTAAGGGCAACTAAAACCAGGTTGACACCTTGGCAATTCTCGGCAATTTCACGAACCCATTTAGACTCAACGTTTTCGAGAGAATCTTTGCTATCAACGGCAAAGCAGAGCATGATTGCATGTGTGTCGTCATATGAGAGTGATCGAAGGCGATCGAATTCTTCTTGTCCGGCTGTGTCCCACAAGGAGAGTTCGATATGAACATTATCGACATAAATATCTAATTGCATAATAAGCTTCACACATAACTAATCGAATTGTTTGAGCTACCATGAACATAGTTTTCAAACACCGTGGGTTCGTAGACCGTTGGAAAATACCTGTGAGAAGAGTCAGTTATGTCTCATAAATTCGCCATCGCGCTTACCCTCTAGTAAAGACATTTAATAGACTCGTTTTACCGCAGGCTCCATCGCCACTTTAACCAACAAGTCAGCCCAGCACTAGATGATAGACGTTGCTGCCGACGTGCGATGCGCTACAAATAGAGCTATTATAATACATACAGCAATACCAATTTTCGGCAGGCGCTTTTACTTCCCCTAATTCCACACATCATCTTGATTGAGACGAGGTTAGCACGTCTTATTAAGAAGAGAAAAGCTGCCGGTTTTGATAATATGCCAATAAGAAATTTCGAAGTCTGATCCCAACGCCAAGAAAATAATCTAATTCGAGTGAAAGGAAGGCTGTATATTCGGGCCTCAATTGATGTGGATCAATAATCCGGACGAATTTGACTCGTATTATTGACCCCTCTGTAATTTTCAGGTAAGATTGGTATCATATGGAAGAAAAAGGAAAGAACGTTGCTTATCGCGGGTGATGACGCAAGCTGGGAGAGAACGGATGCAATGTGAAATTTCTGCTGCTTATCGAGATCGATGGATAGAATTGATGGTATCGCAAGCGAGGCGCGATGGTTGTAGAATTGCTATCTGGTTAGGATGTCCTGGTAGACCGTTTTCTCTATTGCTTACGCAGGTCTTGGCGGTCAATGGGCGAGGCACATGACGTGAGAACATTAAGCTTGATATGGGCTTTCTCAGTTTGACGCAAAGAAATTAAAAGGTGCTAACCTTATTGCTGAGGTTTCTGCGCAGTCGCTGGCTTTTCTCTCCAGATTCCTGAACTTAATATCCCGATAATAACAATCCCTAACCTGCTCTTAAATCACCGACATCTCAAATGTTCAAAGCGATCATTGACAGGCAGGATAACAGACTTCGTGTAATCTTAGCCGCAGGTTATTCCAACATGATGATTGCATGATTTGAACAATTCGATTTATCAATATCAAGTCTACCGAGAAGTCTAGCGGGATACTTCATCATTAGCATAGTTTATAACTAACTTTAATTCCTCACTGAGTCTATGACCGTGGAGAACTACAAGAATTATCTTACAATCTTTAACATAATTGCACTAAATATACTTGATCTGTTAATTATGTTTTTGTACACACTAAGATTCATGCCCTGGATCAATGGTATAAGACTTAGATCACAACATTCACATTTTTTTTAGACATTTAATGTGTATTCAGCTATCTAGCTATGACACATGACAGGTACTATGTGTATGGATCGGAAGACTCTTTTAATGATAGAGACACTCATACTCTAGATTTCATTCGCAAATACCACTATGAGATATGCTTGCTTACACAAACAGTCGACACTCCTCCATAAGTACCCACCACAGGAAAATTCAATACCTTTGATTATCCAAGCATGCCTTCATCATCCATGCATACCAGCGCCGCGAGAAATGTGGTTGTGTTTTGCCGGATTTGAACCAGCGATCTACTGTCTCGAGTGGGATGTGTGTCCAAGCTATCCAGACTCTACTTGACAGACCGGTTAAGACAATGTACCACCGCACCATCCAGCCATGGCGGTGTTTATAGTGTCGCCTGCACTCTCGCAGCCGAAGCCTTGGCACGCACAAAGCTCAATCCGTAAAAACTCCTTTCCAAAATTCAAAATTCCACGCCCGTCGAGACTGTATCCATCCTTCTCATCATCGTGTGAACTTGTCCTGATCCCTCTCACGTTCATCCCAGAGAACTGTCTCCCAGATTTGTGCGCCACGCTTTGCTTCCTCCGTCGGGTATAAATATCGGCGTGGGCTTGTATTTGGTGACCGGCTGAGGCCAGAGAAAGTCGACAAGAGGTGTGGTCATTGGGATGAGGATGTAATAGGTCGTACTTGTAGACTTGATGAGGCTTATCTAGGATTCGATCTCTTTGGGAGTGGAAAATTTGATGTGGTGGAGTATTTTGAATCATTGCCTCGAGGGCCAACTTGTTCGGTGTTGCGAAGTTTGACTGAACTTGGCTCTGGGAGAATATTTCACTCCCAGGTTTGTAGAGGACACCGCGTACAGGTGTTCAGTCTTGCCCTCCATCTAGGAAATTTGGTTTGGTTTATTAACGTGCTAGCAAATTGGCTTCCTCTGTACTCCTATGAAAGCCTGAGTTAGAGTGAGGCCAGACTGGGCCAGGTTAACTACCATGTAAGTACTTAAACTTTATCACACATCAGACTTCACTCATGTGTTGAACATGTCGAGTCCAACCGTCTAGAGAATCGGCTTTGACACGCTGAAGCGCAAATTCCTCCTCAGCCTCGGCCACTACGCATCCAAGACCTTGACAACCTCCAATTCTCAAAATATTCCTTTCCTCTTCGATGGGTTTTAGCCATGCCTCGTCTCATGATCTTCTCATCTCATCCAGGGTTCATTAGATTGGAGGCCTTGTATAGTTCCCCACCGAGGCCTCCTTTTTTGCTCCCTTACATTCCTTCGCATAGCTGTCCTTAAACCTTACGTTAACTTGGCCATCTCAGAAACTCCATAGACTTCCCACTTCTCCGGTCTTGCACCGTCGCCGGCATACCCCTAGCGGAGGAGGCTGAATATAAGTCAAGTACCTCATATCCGAGGCGTCGATGCCTCGAACTTCGTAAAATGCTCTATTTAATGTGCAGGCGAATTTTAGTACGCAGCTCTTCTGGCGATTCGTTGCAGGTTGAGTTGTTGATGCCCTTGGCCGAAGATGGACGAATGTGAGGCCAGTACTTGGAACGTACCTACACAGCGCACAACAGTTGCGAGGTGATGAATTTCCACTTAGATATTAGATGGCGAATATGACATTTGGATTTTGAACTTTGGATTAATTCGGTGAGTGGTGAGATAATTGTGGAGAGGGTCGCGAAATGAGTTTAATTGAGAAAGATAGTCCAGGAAAATTTGAGAAACAGACAATGGTCATTTGTTTTAATTCGAACACAGGACAGGTTTGAACCTATCTGTGGTTCGTATTGGGATGTAAATGTTTGTATTCGTTGGGTTGTACAATCGTGAATTTTTCACAGGTTAGGCTTTCGACCAAAAAATTACCAGCCCCACTTCTGCCGATTGCTATATCGACAAAAACAGTCAAATATACACTGTCATGACTGAGCCTCGGCTCTGGGGAAAGTTTCACTCCAAAATTTGCAGAGGACATGGCCGACAGGCGTTGAAGCTTTATCCTGCTAGTGGAGAAAGGGGAATTGAGGTATCTAGTGCATTTCAACCTTCATTTCGTTTTTTGCAATTCATTTGGTAGCGAACAAGCCAGGGAGGTAAATGTTCGATTCGTAAACCAGATGACCCGTTCCAATGAAAGGAGAGTAAAAATCAGAGATGGTCATAATTCATTAATTTGTATTCTAACGTGTTTGGTAAATGCTGTGTAAACAATAGAGCCAATACTGAGTCAAGCAATTTGAACACAAACTACAGTACAGGTAATGCGGACTGCTTTCCTTGACACCACTACCCTGGTTAGCAGCAATCGCACCCAGATGTAGGCTTTCGCATGCTATGCTAAGGAAAAGCCAGTAAGATAAATTTTAGTTTATATAGAGTATTGTCAGGCAAGTCAAAGTGAAGGTGGCGTGGTCAACAGGATTCGTACTAGCGATCATCGTAACTCAAAGAAGTCAGATCTTAATGTTACCCCGAACTTGATTAGTGGAGCAGCCTATTCTACATGTAGCTGAACCGTTAGACAGTATGAAAATAGTTTTTGGTGTGAATGAGTAGCCAAATTCTTTCTGCTGGTTTTGAGGAATATATCTGAATAAAAGCAAATCGCCAATTCTAGGTATGTGAAACAGGTGTACTTGTACGTTTCCGCACATTTTGCAGGCAAATTGGGTACTTTGTCTTATATAGTTATGCAGTCATACTACGTTTACACTGATCTGTGCACTAGTCATCCCATCTGTAGAATTCAGGTTAACTAATAGTTAGATTTATGGATCGGCTGTACCATGATCGAAGAGAGAGATGGTTCGAAAGTTATTCTCGCTGTATCACTTTAGCCTCGGTTGGTACCGAGCTCATGCCAGCTTCCGCATTAATCCTACGATATATTCTTCCCATTGAGAATGGTAAAAGTTGTGGAGTCATTAGAGATTTTGTTTTCCAAATTATTTAGTTCATATCAGTCCTATTATCATAATTGTCATTCGTGATATATTTGTCAAGTGATAAATGAAGCAATTGTGATGAAACAAAATGTTACAGGTGAAATGTTAAAACTGGATAAATCATTCCTAAGCAATTTATTTCGTAGCTACCCTACCGATGCTCCACACAAGGACTAATTGGCGTTCTTAATGGTCTTCGCGTTGGGATTTCTGGGGTCATTTTTGAATTCCTCACCTGCCAGATCAGTTAGTACTCCGCATAAATGTCAGAAGTCTCCGAGGTAAAGGTCCAGTTAATTACTCACTGTTCATCATGGCATTTGCGAGAGAATTGACACCGTACAATACAACGAGTCCTGTGAGCTTGTTAGCACTTGCGCCATTATTGTAGAGCCAAAATCTAAAATCATATTGGATTTCGCTTCATATTATAGGTGGCTAGCAGGACAGACCGGCAACGTAAAAAGGTGTCATTGGTTTCGCTAGAAAGATATCAGCGTCTCCTTTAGATTAATTTCACTTCCAACTAACCAACAGGTGCTGGGAATTTCTTGCCCAAGAGAAACATTTTTGTTTAAGGTTATGAAATTTGCTTTCGTTTGCTTACGTGATTGAATGTAAGTAGTTATGTGAATTTTGAAATTGCGGTCAAGGTGATGTAGCACATATTGCATTACAAACTTCAGCATTGCTTATTCATCAGCACCCCTTGTAAGATTCCCCATATATTTGCGGGGTTAAATCTTACCCTATTTCCCAACATAAGCCAATCACCTATTACGAGGTTTAATTTCAATCCATCCTTGCCAGCAATTGTCGCATACGTCAGGGTCTAGTATCAGGGAGACTGAATAATGAGAATAGCTACCCACTCCTTCTTCAACCTGTGCTGAGGAGACTGATATGCAACGCCAGCCTCCCCTCATGACATTTTTACGCTGCTGCTCACGCAGTATCGCCCTTAATACATACCCAGGGAAAGGGCTACTACGGAAATTCTCTGGCACTGCTGCATCAAGTCGTGGTGCGCCAATCCTCTCTGAAGGTACGGCAGCTGGAGTCCAAAGTTTTGAGGAAAAACGAAGGGCATTCCGCGCACGATTATCGGAGCTAAGTAAGTGAGAAGAAAGGCCAGTCAACTAATGATTTCGGGGGGTTTGCATCTTCCCCCCCGACATACTATCTCCCCTGTAAAAAAGCTGAAAAATCTAGCCGTCCAAATTTTAATTGTTCTCTAGGATCTGATGAGTTCTCAGAATCGGTGGCAGAAGCTAGCCCTAAGGAAGTTGAAGGAACTGAGGGGAAACTAAGTTCCCTGATATATGGCACCAAAGAGGGCCGAGATCTAGATCGACAGATTGAAGCTTCGTTTAGTCAAATAATTGCGCGAGGAAAATATGTACACTCGATCGTTTTCCACGAAGTGAAGCCGGACAAGGTAGATGAATACACTGAACTAGTCGGTGGCTGGTATCCAAAAATGGCTGAAATGGCCGACAATAAGGTCAATCTAGTAGGTAGCTGGCGAACAGTGGTTGGAGATTGCGATACCTTTGGAAAGTTTTCACATTCCCTGGGAAGTCTTCCAAACTAACTCGCTACAGTTCATATCTGGGAATACCAACGCTATTCAGGTTACCACGCTTCTCTTCACTCCATCGCTTCCCAGCCCGGCTCCAGTGCCTTTGATAAAAAGCTTAAGTCTTTAATTACCACCAAAAAATCTTCTCTAATGCAGGAGTTCTCTTTCTGGCCGACCACTCCACCACGTCAGCTTGGAGGTGTTTTTGAATTACGTTCTTACACCCTGAAGCCGGGCTGTCTCCTAGAGTGGGAGAGCCATTGGCGTCGCGGTCTCGAGGCAAGAAAAGAACTGATGGAGGGAGTTGGTGCTTGGTTTGTCCAAATTGGGGCTCTAAACACAGTGCATCATCTCTGGCAGTACGCAGACCTAGAGGAACGTAAGATTCGCCGTGAGAAGAGCTGGAGTGTCGAAGGTTGGGGAGAAACGGTTTACAAAACAGTCCCTTTGATTCAAAATATGCAAAGCCAAATTTTGATGCCATGCGAGTGGAGTCCGGTAGCTTAGTCTGGTATGAATTGGTTATAAACCATGCACATTTGGAGGAACAATTATATGAATTACACACGATAGCGCTCTCGCTTAATTGTTTTGCCTTGTTTAACGACCATGTGATTTTTTTGATGCATATATTGGGAGTCTACGTAATAACGTTAATTTCAAACGAACGAATTTCAATATGTATACGAGAAACCCTTAGGCCTCGTGTGATGTTCGACAACAATGGCGAAGTAAATCAGAGCCTCAGTGTTCGCTGTGCCCGGGAAAATACTGGACTTACGCCTACTTCGACTTAAAAGCTCATTAGCCTAGCATTATGGATGGAAGTACAGAGATTGTTCACAATCTTGGGTAACTAATTACTTAACTCCTTTTGTTCAAGATCCATGACTACCCTCAATGCTTCTCTCGCTCCTAGTACAGTTCGTTCTAGTGCCTCTAACTTTGATGCACAACTTAGCAGACATGGATCTGCACTACTCTCGACCCGGTACTTTTCTTTGACACGCACTAACTCCCCCCTGTAGGTGAACTCTTTGTTAAGTTCGTCATGTTCAAGTGGACGCTGTGCACCGATGCCGGTTAGGAAGCGCGACCCCAGAGTGGGCTGCTGCGCGCAAGATTCTAGCACGCGAATCGTAACAAGTAGAGAGCATTCATGAATGTTAACGTTTAGGACAACGGCTGAGGGTAGCTCGGGCGTGAAAGAGATACACTCAGATTCTTCGTTATACCAGGCGGCCGCTTCATAGACTGAAGTTCTGCAGGAATCGGATGATGGCGGCGGAGGGCTGGATCCTTTGAGGATACTGAGAGATTCTTGGAGAAACGATTGCAAGAGGCGCAGCTGGGAGGCGAAAAATTGGGCTGCTAAGTCTCTGGCGGCTGCAGAAGCACGGGGGCCGGTGAATCGTGTCATATCCAAGCAATCGAGAGATTTTTGCAGTAGCGTGCGAAGAGCTGTGAGGGTTGCAAGGGGAAACCCGATGACCGGGAGGGTAGTGCTTGACGACTCGGTCGAGCTGGTCGAGGCAACGGCAAGATTGAGCGGGGCGTGGGTTCGAAGGCGAAGAGAGAGAGTCTATTCAAATCGCCGAGTTAGCAGTGAGCTTGGCTCCCACGTAGCAAAGCTTTCCTCGGCCAAATGGGCCGGTGGCGAGCAGATGGCAGAGCGTACCCCTCTCACGATCGTGTGTCCTACTCGCGTGACGTGTCCCTTGATGCGCTCACTTCGAGGGCTACTCAAGACGAGTGTCGAGCCAGGTTGTACGGGGGCGAGGAGTGTCGCACATTCTTCCAGGCCAATTCTCAACGCCAGTAAGGTTTCCTCGAGGGAGTTGAGGAGCCAAGAGAGCTCATTCGCCTACATTATCAGTAATAGAGAAGAAGTGATCACTTTCAGTACTCACTGTTGATTGCGCCTCAGCTTCTCTTCGTTGTTCAACAGGAAGATATGGGTAGACGCTTGTAGACATTACGTTCAAAGTGCTGAGGCTGTAAAGTGGCCCCCACGAACCAGGTCGCTAGCAGATGAGTCAGCAACATATCGTTTCAATAACGGCCGCGATGACGAACATTGACAATCGGCCACCAACCCCTCCTAAGTGGCTCTCATGACCTCCCCTCGCCCAAGGCCGGCGACGCCGCCAAAGCTGGCACGCCTCCCCAAAAGTAAGTTGGTTCCCATTGTCTTTGAGGCTTTGCGCGCACTGATATATTTCTCACGTAGACTACCGCGTGCGCAAGCGACCGCTCCTCCATGCGCCCCTCGCGCCGCCGCGTGCCGGCGCAGACGTACCCAAGCTTATATACCTCTCCAGTCGCAGTTCCTTTGTGGCCACTATTAAACGCGTCAGAAGTCTTCTCAGTCACGTCGAGTCACGCAGCAGCGCTTCAGATGCCGCAGCGCTTCTGCAGCGGGATCCACGCTCGTTTATGCGGTCTGTCGCGGCGGAGCGTGCCACGCGTAAGACTAACTCGGATGGAGGCAAGAGGATGGAAGAGGTGGTGATAAAGGCAAGCGGCAAAGCAATTGAGAAGGCACTGCAGATTGCGGCATGGTGGCAGTCGCAAGACGATGTCAAGGTTGAATTACAAACGGCCAGTGTGGGAGCCATTGATGATATTGTGAATGCCGAAGGGGTGGAAGAGGATAGCCAAGTCCGAAGAGTCAGCGTCTTGGAGATACATGTGCGGCTCATCTGAGTAATCTGTATGGCCTAGTCAATACGAGTGGCAGAAGATGCCTTCAACGGAAATCAGATCGCCGATGAGATTGAAGGACAACTGTGGCAAGCAACGAGGCTTGTATTCCCTTACATGTTCTCGTTTAATCAGTGTCAAGCAGCTCCTTGACGAGTCGAAATTGTGTAGATTCTAGAACTATTTCAACTCCCATTCCGTGACATCCTTGTGAATTTGATGTGACTATCCGTGAAATCTGAGAATCAACCAAATCATGCTATACATTATACAGAGACATTTTCTCATGCCCAGATCCTAAGCCTTTATTTATCGCTTCCCGCTGACCCAGTCGCCTACATGTGCCAAAATTACATCAGCTGCTCTCTGTGGACTAAACTCGCGACCGATCGCCTCGACGAAATCTCCATCAGGATCCATCAAGTAAAAATAGATGCTGTGATCAACGAGATAGTCTTGACCTTTTTGAACACCTTCGGGCGTGCTAAAGTATACGCGATACTTTTTACAGGTGTCCTTTACCTGCTCCCAGGTTCCCGTGAGGCCAATGATTCCTGGATGGAATTCGGCTAGATAGGTCTTCAGTACAGCTGGTGTATCACGAGCAGGATCGCAAGTAATGAAGAGGGGAATGAGAGGCGGAAGTTTCTTGAGACGCGCGTTCTCGCTATCGTCAGATGTGCCCGCCAGGAGGGGAGAGGCATTGACGAGATCAACCATACGCGCCATCTTGTCAAGCTCATCGGGGCAGATATCAGGACAGTGCGAGAAGCCAAAGTAGACCTATCGATGAAAAATTGTGAGCTAAATTAGCCATGGAGCAACAGAGCTAAGCACTCACCAGCGAGTATCGCCCTTTCATATTTTCACTGCTCCACGCCTCGCCGTCCTGGTTCACGAGCTCAAAACTGCCGCCGACCTTTGGTTTCCCAATCCCCTTCGTCGCCTCAGCCACCCTCTTCCGCTCCATGCGAGTCTTTTCATGCCGGAAGTAGATAATTAATCCCACGCCGCTCAGCACAAAAAGCACTCCCGCAGTTGCTGAAAACGGCTGCAAGCTAGTTAGCCAGGAGGCGTCTTTCAGTGTGACAAGGTAGGCTAAATCTAACACCTGATCTGTACCGAGATTTTGCCTCTTCGACAGTTTTGTAGGTACGTGGAGAAGTTATGCAAAATGCTCTTCGCGAGACTTTTTCTCCAAAATATGGGCGTGATAGGTATGCTGGCGGTCTGAGCTGGAAACCATTTGTGATTGATTTGCAGATTCCCAAAGGACCAGAGATGATCGGAAGTAATGTATGGCTTAACCTCAGAGATCTAGACATTCTGCTGAGCTTCGTAAGAAATGCCAATTCGGGCGCAAACGAGTAAATATGTCTTGAATCACCATCCAGGCTAAAATATGGGCCCGTAATAATATTATTCCGATACTTCCTCTCTAAGAAAGTTTGTAAGTCTTAGTCGCACAAAGTGAGCCATAAATCGAGCCATGACATACATTTGATAATCTTTGGTTTTAATTATTTAAGTTTATGCGGCTATTCATTTATGAGATATAATAAGTATTGCGAGACCATATTTAATGGCTCTTTTGGCTATAGAGACTTGAACTGCATTTGCCATTCACCAACACTTATGTTAAGAATTCTGGCTCTCATAGACCCGCCAGCTACCCCCTACCATTACCTGCCGTAAATAAAATCTAAAAATTTCAGCCAAATAAGCAAGCCTTCGTCATTCTTATTCAAGTGCACTGTCAAGTATTTCCCGAGAGTCTGGCGTTTTCAATCATGCCATTCCAGGTCCAAGTTGGCTAGGTGACCAAGCTGTCCTGTCTCTGCTTGAGATATCAGCACGGATGAAATACCTTGGCACCATCTACTCATATCACAGCCCCTCCTATGCCCATACTTTTATTTTTTTGCATCAGATTTTAATTGCGTATGCAGCTATCTAGCTATGACACAATATCAAAGAAAAGTACAGAAAAGATGACTCAATTTATAAGAGCACTCATGCCTCAGATTTCATTTGCAAGTACCACTGCGAAGTTATGGTGGCTTTTTTTTCACACCAAGTCAACCCTCATCCGTGAATATCCACCCAGGGGAACATCTCAAAAACCCTGGGTTATCCAGACATGCCTCTGTCATCCATCAACTTTTCTCCGCGCGAAATTTAATCTGAGATGTCTGCTTCTCAAGTGGAGTAGGTGCCCAGGCTACTCAAACTATACCAGAAAACATCACTATGCCCATACACCTCTTCCTAAACAGTACCGCCCCTTTTGAGCCCTCATTCGATCACACAAAAAGCATCGCCACAAAGATTATATACTCGAACAACATTATTTCGACTATTTATCCTGATCAATATGATTTCTTCTTCTAAGATCTGACCCCTAGATTTGTGCGCCATAGTTTGTCTCCTGCTGTGTTTATCAATATCCTTGTGCACGTGTATTTAGAGTCCAGCCGAAGCTAGAGCCTGAGTTTTTGGGAAATCTGTCCATGGAAGTGAGTGGGTTAATGAATATTTATTCGTGACGAGCATAAGCCTAGCACTTATAGAGTATGATGGGGTTGGACGGTGCAGTGGTACACCATTCGGGCTGTTCTCCCAATTAGATACTGGGTAGCTTGAACACCTACTCCATTCGAGACTATGACGGAAACCGAGGTGGTGATGAATAAATCGATTTAACAAACTACATGAGGAAAAAAGAGAACTCTAGCTGCTACTAACAGGTATTTATTAGTGTCAATCCTCCTCGTGAATCTACAGACTAGTGACTCGTCCTTAGGCACAATACTTCTTACCCAGCCACGTATTTCCAGGTGTCACTAAGTTGTAATAACGCATCAGCCCCCTGACTAGTAGTGCCGTTTCGTTCAGCTTCATCTCCCCCCCCATACAGCCTCATCGTAAGAATTCTCAGTATCAGGCTTAGGTATCCACCTAATCTCAAACAACGGTCAAACCGTAACAGAGACAGGAAAAGGTTCGAGTCCAGTAAAACTCACACACCACTCTCTCTCGCGGTGATATTGTACTTGCGGGATGATGAAAGCACACTTGGATAGCCACAGGTTTTTCACGCTTTTCCCTGTGGTGGGTATGCACGGAAGAGGTTATACGCCGTAAGGGTTAACCTCGAGTGGCAACTGCAGAAGAAATCTAAGTGTGAGTGTTCTAAATGTCAAATTGAGTCATCCTACTTATAGTACATACCTTCCGATAAAAACCTGCATGTGCCTCAAGGCGCCAAATCAGGATATTCATTTATATATATACACATATATTAAGGAAATAATGACCCCTAGTCAATGAGGTTTTGTTTTGTTTTGTTCATTAACGTGCTAAGTTACATGACTACCGTTGCACTCCTATTGGAGCTTCAGCACGAGTGGAGTTGGGCTGTATCAGGTTGATTACCATAAAGTACAAATGCCTCGTCCCACCTAAATGACCGGACCACCTCAGACATCACCTATGTTTTGAATCATACCAAGCCTAACCGTTCAGAAACCCGCTGTATACACGCCGTAGCGCGATTTCCTCCTCAGCCTTAGCCACCACGCGCCCGAGCCCTTGACATCCTCATTGACTCCGAAATATAAATGCCGTCCAAGAATTCATCGTTGCTCTAGCCTTGCACCTTCATATCGTACCGTTGGGTTGTTTTCGTCATTGGGGATTTGTGTAGTCCCCTCGGCATATCTTCCCTTTTCTTCCTCCTTTGTACACGTCCCGTTTCCATCATGACTTTCCTCATTAGGGCGTGTGTAGGTAGGTGATCGGACGAGTATAGAAGTGGGTCGCAGGTATAGGATCGACTGAGAAATGCTTCGTCGCAAATAAAAAAGGAGTCCGAGTGATGCTGGATGTTTGAATACGACCCCCAGATAGACCTAGGCCCATTCGTGAATCGTATGCTGGTAGTGATGAGTTTTTGTTCGACTTTCTTGCGGTTTTGAAGTCTCTGTCGCATGATTTTTCGACCAAAATATCGAGTGCAACTCCTTCAAGTCGAAAATCCATCAAAAAAGTAATTCATCCCACCCTTTGTCGTGACTGAATCTCGGCTCTGGGAGAATATTTCACTCCCAGGTTCGTAGAGAACACCACGGACAGGTGTTCAGCCTTCGTCCACTAGTCATTGAGGTTGTAGAGCGCATTGATGATGATACTACCGAAGTGAAACTAAGTACAGAGTTTGTAGTCACGTGTGTACCAACAACGTGGCCCACTTGATAGCCCCAATTATTCTAAATTCTAGCAATATATGTATATATATATATATATTTATATAGAGTATGACGCGGATAAGGCTAGTCCTTCCCCAACGACTTTATACGATGCAAACTCAGTTTGACATTTAGGCCGCTCATGTCGTTGGCGCATTCGCAGATACCACTCGAGACCTTTGTGCCAGGGACCTTCGCCTTTCCCTCCACCGTTATTATCCACCAAAGGGAAATCAGCAAAAACCTTTGGCTACGCAAACATGCCTTTATCATCTGGTATATAGCCGCCGCGCGAGATATGGCCTCACAGTCCTCCCTTTATCGAGTGAGTTAGGTGTCTAGGCTACTCAGACTTTAATTCGGGGAGGTGACGACGAGGATGCGGACCACAACACCTTTATTTATTTATTTATTTATTTATTTATTTATTTATATTAACGTCGTGCCTGCGCACAACACAGTGCTTTAAAGCCCCATGCCGGTTAGCTCAGCCTATAAAGGGCTACCCGACGCACCGGCATTCCCATAACAAAAACCCGATAAAGACCCCACTGCTCCCGGTCCGCATAGTCGCCAGATCAGTGAGACTCTTCTTAAATTTATATAAATTATATAATTAAAAGCGGAACTTAAACTACATGTGGATATTCGTATTTAGATAGCGTTGGTGTCTAACCACAACACCTTTCATTGTTGCCTGTTTTTAGAGTATCGGTAACTGTCACGGGTCCTGGGCCCGCTACTATCCCCCTGTAAACCAACTTTCTATTGCAAATTCTTAAGCGCATCACATAGAAACTCCTGCATTATCATTATTTTAGAGAATCAGAATAGACTTTGATTACTTCGTTCCATCGTACAGATCACGACCTCATTTCGTGACAGCAGCACCTTCTGAATCGTTGCCTTGGCACCCACTAGTACCCCAGAGTCGAAAACACCCGAAAAATGTAAGCTCCAGCATGTCTATTTGTGACCTTTTTACTCGCTCGTCCCACGCTCCGGCTACCTGATCTTCCTCAAGATATGAATCACCATTAGAGCATCGACCCCCTGTATATGAAACCCCGAGCTTTGTTAATTATGACTTTATTTTCACCTCGAAGGTATACATAACATCGTAACTTTGTAGTGGGAGATGACCGATATTTTACGAAACAAATTCCCGTTTACAATAAGTGCGACAATTTATTCAGTCGTTGAGGCGAGTTGATACGTAGTATCAGTAACTTGAAGGACTCGCGTGAGAAAGATAGGTCCGACGTTGATGAGAAGTGGTAGTTTTAGATATACTTGGGATTGCTTCTGACATTGATTCGGATGCGACTCTTCTTAGGTATCCCAGACATGTAGAGCACACTGAGCAATTACACCGGCACCACTGGAAGGTGGAGAGTTCGTCTTTGCCGGCGCTCAAGGAAGCGAGGATGTAGTAAGTATTGCCTAAAGACTTAAGGAGCTTTTGTTAGGAATCTGTCTCGTCGGAAGTAAAAGATTGATTTGGTGAAGATTCTTGAATCGTTGCCTTCTGATCCAACATCCTCGGCGTTGTGAAATTCAATTAACTAGGCTATAGGAGGCTATTTCACTTTCAGTTTCGATGAGCACAAATTCGACTATTATTCATAGATAACTCTTTATTTCGCTTGCGAACATCCTTAGCAAGATTTTTCGTCGTCACTGCCAACCCTTATCCATGAATCCCCACAAACTGTTGGGTTGAGAAATTTCATCAAAGACTGACCTGGTCATGAAATACATATTGAAAACAAATGAATTTCTTTATTCTCACCAAGGATGGACCATTCATGTCGTTGGAAAAATGAATATTAAGTTTTGGAGACTAAAAGATGGATTAGCTCTAGTTTCGTGACCGCTACCCCACCTCTCACTACGGCAAGGCTGATAGACACAATGAGTAACATAATTTTCCGTGGCTAATAGTCGGTGAATGAGGTTCTAGCACAGTAAAACGCCAATCTCTGCAAGGAATTCATGTTCAATTCCGCAGCGATCAAATCTGTATCTTTTTAATTAATAGGGTTATGATAGGTCTTTGAAATTCCTGCTATTCAGAAAAATGTCGATCAGGCAAAGTGCTCGATAAGTAGGCTTACTATTGACAAAACACTTACTCATTTAAATGTTTCTTTCTACGAGCCTCATGGAACCGAAGTTCATCCTCTATTTGTTAATTTGATTCACCAATTTCTGATAAGAATTTAATTGGAAACAGTGACAGATACCTGACACATTGTACGTCGATATCCTCATATGAAGCCAATCAGTGTCATCGGCAAGCAAGGACGAAGATCTTCAATTCTATGCCCTTGGCAAAAATAATATTTAGTAGAGTGTTAGTCACTTGAATACAAAGATCATATGGAGGACAAAGACTTAACACCCATCCGCAGTGTCTTATACGAAATTGAGAGCGAAACATTCTCTCAGAGCTAAGTTCATTCAAATTTCGCAATTCCAAGTTGACCCATGAGGCGATGGTTCGAGATATTCCTGCATGTCGAGATTTTACTCCCCACGACATCAATTACTATTAAGGAAATAATGACCCCTCAGTCATTGAGGTTGTAGAGCGCATTGATTCAATTAACTACCGAAGTGAAACTAAGTACAGAATTTGTAGTCACGTGTGTACCAACAACGGGGCCTACTTGATAGCCCCAATTATTCTAATTTCTAACACTCCCCCATAGACTAATTGGGCGTATTCCTTGTCTTCTTGTATCTTTGCTTCATTAGAAGTTTGCTTGAATGATTAGTTGTCTGCTCCCAAAATGGTCTTTCAATTTTCGATGAATCAATCTAAGCAGCGTATCCTTTAGAATTGATTCATCTCCTCTCATTTTCCTCCACGTACACCGTAGAGTCCTAAGCTTATCCCGAGTGACCTGGCAGTTTGTTGTTGTTAACTTCAGAGGCTCCCCCAGGATTTTGGCGTCTAAGCGTCAGCCTTTCTCAGCTCTCAAATACACTGCCCCAGTTTCCGTGCCGTGGTTGTTCCGGTGTATATTTCATCCAAATCACTTGTGTTCCATTGTCTCGTTTCCCTCTACAAGCAACATGCCCCACTAGAGTATCCCTTCCAAAGACTTTTATTTCAAAGTGTTCCGTGTGATAGCTCTCTCATAATATCACCAAGCTCCACTTGGATTTCTTTCTATCTTGCTTTGGTCTTTTTGTAATCAACTGTTCTTCTACTTATTGACTTATCTCCCCCACGATAATATAAAATTAAACGAAGATAGCCGTTGAAGTGTGATTATGTTGAAGCCTTGGCTGTTGTAGAGACTTTTGTTGTCGAATAACTTGACGAGAATCCCTCTGCTTAGATAAATGCGAAGACTATAAGAAGGGAAGTCTTGAGAGTATAAATAGCAGCTTTCGAAGAGGAGCTACTGAGTTGAGTTCGAACTGCTATCGGAAATCAGCAGTGAGAATTTTGCGACAGCTTTCGGATAGGAACTGTCAGGTTAGGATTCGACAAACTTCGGGAGAGAGTCGAGGAATTTAAATTAACAGCTTTCGTACTGTAGCTGCTAGGTTTATGTTCTTTCTTTTTTGGTTCCTTTCGGGTCGACTCATTTGACCCGTGGGCTCTCTCTCTTAGAGTCCATCGACGGGCTGGCTACTGGTGCGTTTTGGAACCATCAATCCTCACAAGGGCTTCGCAGCGACCCCTTATCTTCAGTACTTGACCTGTGCTTTCCCTAACGAAGGCGATAACCTCCCGTCTTCTCAGGCGACGGCCGTTCAATTTTCTTTAGAGATTGCAACTCAAAGGCGATGGCCTTGTCTTGGGTTCAAGAAGGTGACAGCCTCCTAGTTGGATTAATTTGGCGCAAGTAGAGCATATGCCCTTCTGCTTGCCCATAACGAAGATAGTATCAAACTCCGGGAGATACAACGTTATTGCGCGAGCGACAATCCGAGGTCATAACCTATTTAGGAAATAATGACCCCTCAGTCATTGAGGTTGTAGAGCGCATTGATGATAGTAACTACCGAAGTAAAACTAAGTACAGAATTTGTAGTCACGTGTGTACCAACAACAGGGCCAACTTGATAGTCCCAGTTATTCTAAATTCTAACAATTACCGCTGAAAAGGGCATGAAGCTTACGAGTACGATCCAGCACACCCTCATTCCAGTGACCACACCTACCATCAACTCTCTCTGGCCTCAGCTGGTCACCAAATACATGCTTACGTAGATATTTATGTCTGACGAAGGAAATAAAGAGTGGCACACAAATCTGGGAGGTAGTCCTTTGGGATGGAGTTGAGAGGAATCAGGAAAAGATTACAGGATAATGCAGCGGATGGATACATTCTCGATGGGTGTGAGATTTTGGATTTTTGTCGGAGCTTTACAAATTGAACAGCATTGTATTCGCCATGACTTCGATTTCGAGAGTGTAGTTGATATTATAAATAAAACCCAACGATGGAAAGCGCCGTGGTTCACTTACTTGTGGTTGTCTCCGGTATAATTTAAGTAGCCTAGGCATTTATTCCACTTGGGAAGGAGACACCTCAGACCACATATCGCGCGGAGAAAAGTGAATAGGTGTAGGCATGTCCGGATAACTCAGGGAGTTTGAAGATTTTCTTAGGGAAGTACTCCCGGATGGGGGCTGTTTTTGGGTGAAGAAAGCTATGATTACCTCATAATGGTACTTGCAGATGAAACTCGAGCTATGAACGCACTATTCTTAAGTTGAGTAATTTATTTTTTACTTGGCCTTTCATATTGTATCGTAGCTAGATAGCTATATGCATAGTGGTAATCAGATGCAAAAAAACCAGTAATATGAAATTTAAAGTGAATCTAATAGCTCATTCTATAACAGTAGTTTGAGTTGGCTCACACATTTTTTACGTGTTCCTTATTATTCAATGTATTATCCCGAATAAATGAACACCATGACTCCAACCTATGCAATTATTCTCAGTCAAATAAAAAATTTCTACCATGACTAGGCTGTTTCTTGACCATCAATTTGGGTCTTTGCCTTTATCCAACGAGCGCGTGAATTGAAGTTTCATCTTTCGTCACGAGATCGGCTAATTTGACCCACACTGTTCCTGCTCGTTCTACTTCTTTCATCTTCTTCCATAACGTCGCTCAGTCTAGTTGGATGATGGTGCCTTGAAACACCCGGCCAATCTGATGCAATGTGGTAACACTGTGCGGCGAGTCCAGCTAGATCGTATGTATCACCTACTTGTGCATTTGTGCTTAGGTTTGAGCCGGGTACGAGAAGGGTGTCGGAAGGTGTCGTAGGACCGTGCCCATATTCGACTCCGGGAATCTGGCTATAGTGTGCAAGGTTCCCAGATTCACTGTTATTCTGGTCTGCTAAGTTTATCTTGCTGGGGTCGTTGTCTGTGTCATGTTGATTGGCTTTAGGTTTAGGTTCACCGCAATCAAACCGTCCCTGATCATGGAGCTCGTATTCTTCGTCGTATTCGTCCGAGAAATTTGCCTCCGAGTCTCTATTGGTGAGATAAGTTACATCTTTCCCAGGATGAGAATTTCCATCGCTTTGCTTGTAGAAGTTCATGGATGCAGGGTGATCTGCTGGTATCTGTGAGGGAGAATAGCTGCTTGTGTATGTGATGTGGGGTTGTGTTTCTGATCCAATGGTACCAGCATTAGTGGGCCTTGAACGGGTCGAAGTTTCAGAGGGTAAGTTGTAGGTATCATCCGACATACGAGTATACTGTTGATGGTGGATATCTTCATTCGAGCATTCAGATATATGAGATGTGTTTGGTGGTTCAGAAGTGTACTGAGTGTCTCGATTATTTCCGATACGACTTGGAGCAGTAGCCATCATTGGAACAACTTGTACCCCTCCAACTACTGTCGGTAGGCCGTCACGCAAAGATATCGAGCGCGCTCTTTCTTCCTGCTCCCGCCGACCAAGTTCTTCCCAGGCTCGTCTGGCTTCTTCTTTAGAGATCTGCAACTCTCTTCTTGCCTCAGCTAGCAACCTGTCAGAATTCAATTTTTCTTTCTCAATCGCAGTCGCTTCAGCCACTGCGGCCGCTCGTGCCTGTATCTCAAAGTGAAGCTTCCTCTCCGTGGTAGCTTGCACTTCCTTATTGCGTTCCAGCTCAGATCTAGTGTCATTGAACCATCTCTGAAATTTTCTCTCAGATGAGGCTCGTAATCTTTGCAATTCTACCACTGCATGGAAAAGATTTGCTCCTGCTGCTGACAAGTCCGTTACTTGCCGAGAAAGCTGCTGTAGAAGTGGATCGCGATGAATTTCGTTACTGTTTTCTTCAAGTCTTCGGATCCAAAACGAGGTAAGTCCTTCCCAATGTGCAGATAGAGTCTCCCATCGCTCGAAAGCATGAGGAAAGGTAGATCGTGTGACTGCATTCTGAGGTTGGGGCTGAGACGAAGTCTCCATACGTGACGGGCTTGACCGTCGATAAATGTCCGATAGACCAGGCCTATGTTGATCTTCTGCTTGTCTTGAGTGAGCTCGTGTAGTTCCAGTCTCATCAACATTATTGGGATGCGGCTCCCGGGCATTATGTGTAGACAAATGCTCTTGAGCAGTGTGAGACTTATCGAGTGGCCTAGCTTGCGCGTGAGCAGACCTTCCGCTAGTTTTTCGTTGGTGCCCAGAAGCGGTTGCACTCGAATTTCTTCTTTCAATACTTTGCCGTCGCTCCTCGATTAATCTAGCCTCCTCGACAGCTCTAGCTCTCTCTAGATTTTCTTTCTGGTCATCTTCAACCTTCCTCCTCGCCTCTCTGGCAGTGCGTTCACGCATTACTTCTCTTGGTCCTTTAATATTTGAGGAGGCTTGTAGCTCAGGTGACCGGGCGAGTAAAGCTTCACCTGCTCTTCTGTTAGCCAGTTGATTTAGAGATACTGCTTCCAATAAATCTGTCATTGACGCGTTCTCTTCTAAAAAATCTGGTGTGAATGCGTGTGGGCTTCGCAATGACTCTTCAAGGGTAGAGATAACGGCAATTAATGTGTTTGAAGATGCCTTTAAAGCGCGACGAGCATGCTTACGGGCATTTGAAGTCGGTCCCGAGTGAGAATTTCTTGCTTTGAAATATTCTTGCTTGTATTCCTGATAATTTTGAGGAAAATCTGTATTTGTAAGTGGTGCAGACGTTGAGATTTGTGGCTGTCGTAGTGAAGATGTTAAATTGGAGGAATCATATCGGTCATAACGGTCATTAAAATTTTCTCTCAATGGTTCAGACAGAGCTGCGATCAATGAAACAATGGAAACAGATAACTGAGGTCAAAATAAGTAGTAGGGATTAAGCTCGAATACTTTGGAAGATGTGAGTGCGGTTTTGCTGTATGCCTCCAATTTTTGGAAAGTCGCGAATTTTGGGAGGGCAGGATCAGCAAAATCTGGTGGCGTAAAGCTCGATCAATTTGTGGGTTGGTGACATGGGCAGAATTCCCGGTTTTTGATGACCTTGTTGACCAATACGTGTTAGATAGGGTAATAAGATGGCTGGAAATTTAAAGAGATGGCGTGGTGATTAGATTAAGAGCCCTGACGAAGGGAGACGTAATGTTAATTGGAGTCAGTTGATCTTTTGCAGGTGCTTTCAAAGCTATTCCACTGGTGAATAGTTTACGGCAACCGGTGATTCTGGACTGGGTTTTCCGAGCACTTTCCATTCCCCTATGTGTTAGCAAATACCTTATGTAGTTCAAACGACCAAAGCGGCTAAAAGGCAGGTAAGAAGTGATTGAAGGTGATGTACAACATGTTGAATATATTAAACTCACCTTTTCCGTATGTTATTGATACCGCTGAGGACGTATCACAGAATTGATAAAATATTTGCGACGCTGCATTCGGCCTGTCTCCCAAGCTAGCATCGTAGAGTTGCAGACCGGCTTTGCTATTAATTCCTTTTTTTTATTGGGACCAGAGTCTGCCCGTCAGTCGTTAGTAACAGTCTCCCCAAGTTCAATTTCCGCCACCTCGTTTGTTCATCATTTCTCATTCTTATCTGAATATCCATGTCCGAGGTTAGGAACATGAGAATTGACAGGCTGAGACCTCCAAATATGCAGTAGCCTCATCTCCAACGGGAACAAATATACTGCGACGCGAAGCAGGGGAGCCAATAAAATAAGCTTCGCCAGGATCTTGATCTCACTTTTGAGCTTTCAGAATGCTGTGAGTAGGACCAAAACGCAGTACCCCATTCGGCCGCTATTCTTAATCCAAAATTTGTCTGCTCGAAATGTAGACAATTGTCTCAAGGCTGATGAATCGCTTCAAACACGTTCAGCACGCGTTAGTTTAATGATGTGACACAATCTCAGCGTCACAACAGCGAAAGCTGAAATGCAGACAGTTCAGATCGTACATGGATTCCCGAGCTGGGAAGAGGTGATCATAGGTAAACCTCCAATCATCGGAACAACTTGATCTTCGTCTACATGGTTCACATTATACTGTCGATCATTTTTGTTTGTGTTGTGCGTTGTTCATGGGTGAGGCAAGCTTCAGTACCACTCATGTCGCCAACCATTTCACATGGAGTAGAGCATTTTATCTTGAAGGGAAAGATACTGAAAGATTTGAAGGTTAAGCAAGGGGAGCTGCTGTCAAGTTGGACATTCTTGGTGGAATGTGCTACTCGGCTAGTCATCACTGTGTGCGAGAGGAAGGATGGGTGGCCAGCACTTTGCCTTTGACCGTGGGATACGATGGAACAAGGAATGTGGGACGCAAGATTGATCCGTGAATGGATCACAGCCCCTGATAGATTGAAGTCTTCGTCTGTTAGAAACAAGTGTGGTGAACCTCAGTTTTTATTAACACAATGGAAAATTGGAGCAACGTCTGGGTTAAAATAAATTACTTCAGCTCGGAACGTTAGAGCTAGCCTCATGGTTCGAGTTTCGCAACAGCATCTAAAGACTGCGAAAGAACGGCGGAGCACGACCAAGCATGGAGTACGAGTAGGTCTCGGTATTCCTCGGACTTCTTCAGGAAGCTTCATGCACTATCCTAACCTCCCTCCGGACCGCTCAGACTTTTAGTGGATCACCACCTCCAAGGCCCAAGAAAGTGGGGCCGTGACTCATCATCGCATGCAGCCAATCTGCCGTGGCGGTCGATAGATACCAGAATGAGCGCTCATATCATTTCCTTGACACACAACCACTTGGCCCTCGACTGACATTTGCTTTGCAAGACTCCTAGTCGCTTAGGCCTGCTACAATATCCACTTTATTTGGTGCCGAGCGGGAGGCCCAAAATTAAGTAAATACCGTTCCATACCTAGGCCCACTAGCGAGATATGCAGATCGATTTGTTGTTCCACACTGCGATCAACATCACAAGCATTGGCAGGTATCCTTAGTCTGTAGAGTCTAGGCAGGGCGAGGCTTGGCTCATCAACCAGATCGCTTGTGCAAACCCCTGGAAAATGCTAGTAAAACAGATAAATCAAGCGTTTAATCACAAACTACTATTACAAATTCAGAAAAGCCTTCAAATTGGTTGGACACCGACAAATAACTCGGAAACTACCAATACTTTCAACAGACTTATAACTTGATTAAAGCATCATTCTCACTCGGTTTATTATTCAAGCCATTGTTGATACTTCTATCCTACAGCCGGAAAATATTTATGCTTCGGATAAAAGAATTTTTAGTGTTTCTGTCAGGGCCCTAGACTAGTAGGAATGTTGATGAAGATGTTTTTACAAACAGGTGTAGGAGGTATTCAAGACGTTGTAATCGTCCGTAACGACTCTAGAATGCTAGGCTACTTCATGGGGATTGCTTTATACCAAGACTTTTCTGACATCATTTTACGACCTTTGATTTTTTCTGCGGCTTGAATCAGGGGAGGATTAAGGAGGAGGTTAAGAACGTTGAGAGACGCTCTTAGGTATACACAGGTCTGCTGCACCTAGCTGACCGGCCCTTTCGTATTGGGAGGGTCCTGTATACAGTGGTTTTTGAGACTTTTTCCTGCAGATACACACATACAAATGACCATCGTTTCGTTGGCTGGATAGGGAAAATAATGACGGAATAACGGTTGCGCTTAGTGTGTACTCAAACGCCGACCTTTTGAGATACCTCTGTAAAGAAGTTGTCAAGATGGCACAAGGAGGGTTAGCTACTGGCTAAGAAGACCAGCAAGTTTTAAAGATTGTTTGTGCACATTATCCTGATTAGTCTATGACTATAGAAGGAGATGTAGGTACTTTCTGCTTATAAGCTGGGAATATTCATGTCTCGGGTAGTGTGCACCTTACGTTCCCTCCTTCACAGCAGATTTTCATTTCAGTATACACTAAGAGGAGCCGTTATCTCGTCTTTAACTTCCTTACCCAGCCAATTAAACGAAGGCTATTTACTGATGTGCAGCTAAAGGAAAACTCCCAAAAACCAATGGGCATAGAGCACTCCTACCAACATCAGAATTAAGTTCGAAGACAAAGCTACTATTTTGAAGCATTCAAAGATAACGGCCAGCCGGACGCTACTGACTTGATTGTTCATAGGAAGATTTCTCGCTGCTTTTATGGACAGCCTAGTAAACACTTTACTATCTCATTTATCATGGAGCTCCTATATATCTCTCCGGAGCCGTCCTTGATCTCTACAATGTCCAAAACGGCGTAAATGCCTTTTGCAGAAAACCAATAGACCTTGAAACCGGGTCAGGCAACACAAAACTTCTTTCTCTCATTTTTAAATAATTTAATGTGCATTCAGCTATCTAGCTATAAAATATGACCGGTGCTATGTATACATGTAGGATAACTCTTTTACACTTCTTCCTCAAGTATACGAATGGGAGGTTGGGATACTTGCACCAGGCTAGCTTCAATTTGCCGTCTGAAACTAGTCAAAATTTAAGAACTGTTGCGAGCCAGCTAGTAGTACCTCTAACAATAGTAACACACGTCTGTTTTGGTATCAATGCGTATTATATAATTTTACTGCCACATGTAGCCGTCCACTTCATTGTGACGAGAGCACACTTTTTTTCATATTTGAGTTTGATTTCGTTATCCTGATTGGGCGCCCTATGGGCCCATGCAGGTATCTACGAACTCTAATATTTACATAGGAGGAAACCTTGCGGTAAAAAACCCCTTAGTTGTCTGCCTTGACTCTGCGCGATTATAGTCTTACCTCTAGGAAGTGCAATCACACTGTTGTTGCCAGTGTGGATTCCGTCCTTGTCCTGTATATCCATTTTCCTCTCTTCGCCTGATTAACGCCTCGGTTTCCCCGGTCATCCGAAACTGCTCTAGCCATCCTTCTTTTTGAATCTACTATGGAATTCTTGTCATATCTTTCACGTTATTTACCATAGTTTCGAAAGATCGAGTTGTCGATTTTCGTGGCAGCTCACCTCATCCCTTTGCCCATTTTGGACAAGACATCACCATGTACTTTATATTTAGGGACGGATATCCACATTGGTAGCATGGTTCTCCTACTCCTGGCACGTTCCTTCGGTAAAAGTAAGCATTGAGCCCAATGTGCTCGCTTCTTACTTGTGTGGCAATGCTGCTCTGGGCCTTGCTAAGGTTTTGGTGGATTTGGATAAGTGACTCTCTATAGTTCATCATAAGTCTACCTGTTTTCTTGTCGTTGTATAAGTTTGCAGCATTCCACTTATCCAGACTGGCTTGCGATCGGGGATCCAAGCATCGCTCCTTCTTCTGGCTCGTTCAGGATTCTGACCACTCCTTGAACGCGGCGTTCTTACCAGCTACTTTCTGTCCTGTTTTAGACTCGATGTTGCTGCAGGTTAGGGTCCATTACACTATATCATCTCTCCTATTTTGATCGCGTTTACTTAAATTTTCTTCATCAAAATATTTGAATTTTCTGCGTGCAGTTGAAATTGTCTATTGGATAGGTAGGTTATTG